AATAAGGCTGGATGCATTAACTCACTCCAAAGCATCTGTTCTTTAACCAAGAGGAAAGCCTTAAGAAAAAGAATGAAACTTGAATGATGAAAATTTCAGGTATCAGTGAACTGAAAGTCTTTGGGTGACTCAGGGCGCCCTCTTTGTACCACACTCCCAAAAGATCACATGATGTAGGTAGCCACCTACTTTAAGTCCCAAAAGGAATAGTATCTTTTATTTTATTATTATTATTTTCTGAGACAGTCTTGTCCCCGGCTGGAGTGCAGTGGTATGATCTCGACTACTGCAACCTCTGTCTCCCGAGTTCAAGCAATTCTCCTGCCTCAACCACCCAAATAGCTGGGATTACAGGCACACACCAGCACACCTGGCTAATTTTTGTATTTTTAGTAGAGACAGTGTTTTACCTCATTGACCAGGCTGGTCTTGAACTCCTGACCTCAAGTAAGCCACCTGCCTTGGCCTCCCAAACTGCTGGGATTACAGGCATGAGTGACCCCACCTGGCCAGGATTATATCTTTATTGCCATTTTATTCCCAATGCCCACAATAGTACCAGGCATACTGTAGGTATTCAATAAATGTGCAATGCATGATAAATAGCAATGGGCACTCTGGCAGGAAGAGAGAGAAACCTGTCCTTTACCTGTAACAAATTGGAGACAAAAGCCAAGTCCTTCCAAACCTTTCACCAATGAATCATCATAGTCAACAAACACTAACTGAGCACCTACTGTGTGCAGGCCTCTGGCTGGACCACAGGCCCCAAACTGACATGTTCACTAGCCAGTCAATTGAGCTTCATTCATTCATTCACTCAGTAAGTCATTGCTGAGCACCTGCTGTATGCTGACCCAGACACCAAAAAATGAAGACAGCACACACAGACTTGGCCCTTAAGGATCTCACCCTGTAGCACCTGAGGACTTCTACACAGAAGCACCGTAGTGGGAAAAGCACTTCCCAGGGAAGGGAGGGAAAGCTCAGGTTTCCTGGAGAAAATACGTGGCTCAGAGCTTATAGCCTGGGATGATTCAGCAAAAACCTCCCAGGGACTTGAAGGAACAAAAGACTGAGTGGTCAGCAGGGCTTCTCCTCCTAGAACTCTTCTCTGGGGCCTACCCACCATGTTCATGACTCCCCTGTTAGTTGCTTAGAGCCTCACAAGCCAAACAAAGAGGGAGTCATTATGTCCATTTCACAGATGAAGAAACTGAGTTCTGGGAACCTGTAGCAACTGGGGAACGCAGTGGGGAACAGGAGGGGCTGGCAGCTCCCATCTCCGAGCTTTGTCGTCTCTCTCATGGGTCATACAGTTACACAGCCCAAAGAATTCACCTTCCTCTACTTCACCCTACTCTTGTTTTGGTCAAGGGTGATTTCACTGTTACCGTCACCAACATCGCCCCCACTGCAAACATTTGTTGGACATTTACTCCTTGCCAGGCTCAGTATAAAGTGATCATTAACTCTTAACATTCTCACAACTGCATTCTTATTCCCATTTTGTAGATGGGGAAATTGAGGTCCAGAGAGGTGAAGTGACACAACCATAAAGTGCTTAGGACCAGGATCTAAGCCTAGGAAATTTGTTTCCAGAGCCCATCCTCTTAATCCCTATATAATGCTACCCTAATACACCCAATTTAAGAAACTGAGGCTCAGAGAGGTTAGGCCCTTGCCTGAAGTCACACAGCAAGGAAATGTCAGAGTCAGAATTGGAACTAAGATCTGACTGCTTCCAGAGCCCACACTGCAGCCCCTGGCTGGTTAAGGAGACAGACAGGTGTGAGGCACAGAAAGGAGGGGGCTATTTCTGCAGTGCTTCCTTTACTCTCTCAGCACATCAAGGCTCTCCATCCTGGGTGGAAATTAAATTATTTAAACTCATCAGCTCCAGTCCACCATGACTGGGTCCCAGAATTATTTTTATCCCAGATTATGGCCACAGCTCTTAACAGAAATAAACCACACTGTTTTCTTCTCGTTGCCATCACATCAACTCCTAACTTATCTGCAATTACAATCAGCTCCCCACTGACAGGGGATGAAGAGCAGAAGACAGGTCCATGCGTCATGGTGGTTTTTATTGGAAAACCATAAATCTGTAGGACCCATTCACAGAGTGGGAAAGAGTTAAAGAGTAATATTCCATCCTACAAAGAAAGCCCAAGAGCAATCACCCCAACCGATTGCACATCTTCAGACAAAGCAGCCAGTTTGTGTATGGAGCAATAAGGAGAAAGGCAGAGTGGGCTGGTGGGACTGAATTCCCAGGCTACCCCTGTGGAATCACAAATCTCTGGCTGCTGCCTCTCTCCTGCCAGCAAGAAAGGAAATGTCCACATTTGTCTCCATGGCTAAGCTTCCTGATTACCAGCATGGGCTGGAGAGACACTGCTGAATGTCCTACCTCTGTGCCTCAGGCTGAATGGGGGAGTAGGGGATGCTGGAGCCAGGAGTGAAGGGATGATGCCTTAGTCTTCACAACAGTGGGTTTGTATGTTGCTGCCATAACTTACTGTGTGGTCTTGGGCAAATTGTTTTCCCTCTCTGGGCTCCCCTGGAAAGGGTTAAATTAAATCAGAGGTTCTGAACTTGGGGGCGGGGCAGTTTTCAGATGGGCATTAGGGAGGGTCCAACACCCTGATGTTGTGTGTTTGTGTGTATATATGCATCTTTTCAGAGCAGAGGCACTCCAAAGAGTCCTTGCTGCTACTCCTGAGAAGAGTCTCTATGGAGCCTTCAAGTGCTGCGAAATCTGCATCTCTGTGCATCTAAGGCCATAAATAAAGCAGACCCCTTTCCAGCTGAGCTCAGGATTCTAGAAACCTAGAAAAGTTCTCACGAGACTCCTCTATCCCAATTCTCCCCAAACAGGGCCACTCCCTGACACAGGAAAAATTCTCGAGCACAGTGCTAACCCTTCCTAGAAATGTGGGCATGTGCATTCACAAATACTCACACACATACCTATCCCACAGTCACAGAAACCCAGAACTGGAAGGGGCCTTAGAGCCATTGGGACAGACTGCCCCATTGCATAGATGGGGAAACCGAGGCCCAGAAAGTGGAGACAGCTGGGGCTGGAACCCAGGTCTCCTGACCCAAGTCCAAGGCTCTTTCCAGAAGCTTCTGTTTCCCTCTCCCTGGTGCACCACAATGCACCACTTCAAATGTGACGGGGGAGGAGGGAGGGCAGCCTCTTGGATCTTGGCCATCCCTAAGGAAGTGAGGCAATGGGGAGATCTTTGGGAAGTGTCCACATCTGGACAGCCAAGTCCTAACGATCCCAGCTTGGCTGGCATGTACCGCATGGCCAAACCAGTTGTTAAAAATATTAAAATATTAAATATTAAAATAAAAATATGAAATGGTGATGCTGCCCTGAGGCCTCCGTGGCTCTGATAGTCCCCTAGGATCCCCCCAAACCTCTCCATATTCCAGCAATTAAAAGGCTTGCCCTCCAAAGATCCCCTATTCCAGGACCCTAGCCATTCTGATCAATTAGTACCAAATTTCAATACTTTAAATATCACCCACAGCCAGATCTGTGGTTCTTTTTTCAAACAAAATTTTCTAACATTCATTATTCACACTTGAGACTTCCCAGTGAGGAAACTAAGGCAGCTTGCTCCTCAAGGTCACCCAGCAAGGGAAGCTAGGAAGAGAAGTTAAGGATTTTGAGGACCAAATCTTTGGCACTAACCACCGGACAGCACTCCTCTTCTGCCTCATATGTCCTGCATGAGCAGGTACATGCCCTGGAATTTCAGCATCTCTTCTTGGCTTTGGGGCTAGTGAAAAAAAGAAGTGAGTGAACTCTGCTTATATTTCAGGCTTGCCAATCTCTGTGGCTGTTGTTTCATTCCTCCCACCTCCAAGAGCAAGAATCTAAAAAGGAAATCCTTGGGGGTGCAGAACACTGAGGTAGCCCCTGAGATAATAGCAAAGATGCTAAAAATAACAGGATTCATTTCCAGAAAAGTAGATGTAATCAAAGCAGAAAGCAGAGTGAAATCCCCTTTTGATGGGTCACAGATTAGCATCAAAGGCATTTCAAAATTAAATGTGAGCTTTTGAATTCAGTTTCAAGGTACTTCCACTTCCCACTCACTAACAGGTTGGTGCAGCCTTAGCCCATTGGGATCTTGGAAAAAGAAACTAGTGCAGGGGGATGGTCTGCCCTGGAACAAAACTGAAGTCGGAGCCTGGAATCTTTCCCCAGAATTTGAACAAGCACTGTTCCCCTCCTTCCATCTGAGACAAACTCAAGGATAGAATCTCCCGAGCTAGTGCCGGGGCACTCCCCCATACAATTACTTACAGGTTACACCACCTGTGAAAATAAAACATAATCTGCTCTGCAAGCAGTGGCTGCTCCCTTCTCGCCTGCCTGACCACTCATCCCAAGCAAAGTGTGGCCCTTTCCTAGCTCCCAGGTCTCCCATCTCAGGAAAGCCAGAACAGCCAAGCTTGCGAAAACCACAACAATTAAATTACTCAGCTGCTCCTGGAAGATGGTATAATCTAAGCTCTGTCCTATGCAAATCTCACCCAGTGTGCTCAGGCAAGAGTTACCCTTCCAGATGACCCTCTCCCCTCCAGGAATAAGCGCTCACTTGCTAAGTCAGAACATCCAGAGTCCCTCCATGCCAGACTAGCCAGCCCCACGAAGGGTTAACTCAGAGAACTGACAGCTACTTTCACCAGCTTCTGCTGCAAAGGAGAGGGCAAATTGGGCAGAAGCCACAATCTTGATCGCATTGCCTACAACATGAGCACATTTTACCCTCTCCCTGGGCACTGAGCCAAAATCTCATTTGGCTTCGGGCTGCCGCTTAGGTGATAAAACACTGCAGAATGTAGGCAAATAAGCATAGTCGTTCCTCGACACCCTTCTCCTCCCAACTACCCTTTATCCCACCACACACACATCACAATTGGGATTTCAATACCCCTAGTCCATATCCACAACCCAGGAGAATATCACTTACCGTACCGGAGGATTGCAGGGGGAACGGGTGAGCCAAATTCTTGCCAACTCCTCCCTTCCCTGCCGGCTAGGAAGACGCTAAGTCCCAATGACTTGGTTTAAAAGCTCAGCGGAGGTGCCTGAAAGAAAATTGTTCATTTGACTCTCCTACTCTTCCCAAAATAAAATCAAAGCACTAGTGCACACACATGTACACGCACAGACACACGGACACATCAACTACCCCTAAATCATGCAGGACTGAGACAAAAAGAAATACCACTGCTAGAAGCGGAGGAAACTCGGACCAGCCAGTGAGTCAGTGGACAGGGACAGTGGCTCCCTCAGACTGTCCTCCACACGGATGAAGGTTTTCGCTCTGTGAGCCTCTCTCTCTCTCTCTCTCTCTCTCTCTCTCTCTCTCTCCCTCTCTCTCTCTCTCTTTCTCTTCTTTCTTTCCAGTCCGCGTAGGCAACTCTTGGCTGCTGGCAGTAGACGAATCAATTGCTTCCCCAGAGCCGGATTCTGCCGCCGCTGCCACCACTACTGCAAAGCCCTGTGTGAGCAAGGGAAGGGGGGCGGCAGCTTCCCAGTGCAGGGGGGACCAAACGGGAACCAAGCCTGCCTCCCACCCGTGATTTATGTGTGCGGTGCCTGGAGAAAGAAAGGTGGGAGGCCGGGAGGGGAGGTTGGGCACACCAGAGATCCCAGCTGTTCGGAACGGCAACCAGGGGATTGGCGGTCAGCACCGTGGACAGCGCTAAGATGCGGCGGAGGAGGGGATGGGCGGGAAGTGAACCCCCAGGCAGAGAAGTTAAGTAATTGGATGGTTAGAGCAGAGAAGGGGGAGTTCGGAGGAGTGGGGGACGAGACTTCTCAACAATACACAGTCTAGTCAGTGACAGCTTACCTACCACACACTTGTTCTAATACTGTCGCTCACTCTCAGAGCAAAGGAGCTATAACTTCGCAGCCCCTGTCTCCTGCACGCCCCCAGTCCTGCATTGCTCCTCTGTGCTCAGACAAGAGTTTGGCCCCAGTGTGGGAAGCTCCCTAAGTGCTTTTCCCCCCTCAAAGTATCACTCAGCTGACTTGTCCTCACCCCTATTGCTGCAGATTTCTGACCTGGAATTCCTTAGAATTCATAACAGAAAAGCTGAGGTTTAAGAAATGGAAATTTCTAAGGGGCAGGATGGCTTAGTTGAATAAGCACTTGATAGTTTTCTGGAAGCCAGATCCAGCCCCCATACAACCTTGGAAAAGTCATTTAATGTTTCCAAGTCCCATCTGTAAAATGAGAATATAACAACCTTCTTTTTCCTAAAGACAGAAAGCAAGAGGTTAAAATGCAAAAATAAGAACACCTAAGCTGTGAGCTGCTAGGATTCCATAATCCATAACCTGTCCTACAATGCAAATGTTTAGACAGAGTGATAAAAGAATTGACAGCCCATCTAGGATGGTATGTGCCAACCGTACCCTTCAGCACGTGGTTTGAGTAGAATGAAGGGAAATTTTAGGTCTCAATCAGACCATGAGTCTTGGCCAAAGATCCTTCCCTGAAAGATCCAGACTGGCTTTCTGAAGTGAAATCGCTGTATGGACAAGGAAATAAAAGTATCAAAACGGGAAATATATAAAGAGGAATGGATGCTCATGGCTCCCAGGGCTCAAGATTTCAAGGGTTCTATTCCTGCTAGCTTTGAGAAAGGGCTCACATTGGAAAAAGGTCAGGAAATCTCAAACAGACCAAGATCTGCTTAGAACTTCTCTGCAAAGTGAAGGAGAACTCCCTCTATTGGAGACTCACATCTAAAGCTTCCCCTTCAGATGGCCCAGGGTTAACTACTACATTTGTCACTTCCTTCTCTCCATGAGAGCCAGGACTTAAAATGAGACCATTTAGAGCTTCGTTTAAAAAAAAAAAGTAAGACAGTGTCTCGGGCCTGCACAGTAGCTCATGCCTATAATCCCAGCACTTTGGGAGGCTGAGGCAGGTGGATCACCTGAGGTCAGGAGTTCAAGACTAGCCTGGCCAACGTGGCGAAACCCCATCTCTACTAAAAATACAAAAAATTAGCTGGGTGTGGTGGCTCATGCCTGTAATCCTACAGCTACTTGGGAGACTGAGGCAAAAGATTTATTTGAACCCAGGAGGTGGAGGCTGCAGTGAGCTGGGTTCGTACCATTGCACTCCAGCCTTGGCAACAAGAGTGAAACTCCATCTCAAAAAAAATAAAAACAGTGTCTCTCTCTGTCACCCAAACTGGAGTACAGTGGTGCAAGCATAGCTCACTGAAACCTTAAACTCCTGGGCTCAAGTGATTCTCCCACCCCAACCTCTCCAGTTGCTAAGACTAGAGATGCACACAAACATACCCTGCTAATTTTTAAAATTTTTTTGCAGAGATGGGTCTCACCATATTGCCCCAGCTGATCTTAAACTCCTAGCCTCAAATGATCCTCCTGCCTTAGTATCTCAAAACACTGGGATTACAGGTGTGAACCACTGCATCTGGCCTAGAGCTTCATTTTATAGATGGTGATAATGAGGGTGATGGTGGTGGTGGTGGTGGTAGCAATTGTTATCATGATAGTAATCATGGCGATGATTATAGTGATGGTGTTGATGGTGATGAGTATGGTGGTGGAAATGATGGCAGCTATTGAAAACCTACTATGTGCCAGCCCTTTTGCTAGGAACTTTACATGTATCATCTTCTCAAGTCCTCGCCATGACCCTTTCAGGGAACTAGCATTATTCCCATCTTGCAAATGAGAAAACTGGAGACTCAAGAAATAAAATTCCTTGCTCAAGCCTTCACTGTAAGTTATATACATAGCATTCAAACTCAGGGTTGTATGATTCCAGGATGTCTCTCTCGGAGTCCATTTAAAATGCAGTCGACAAGTTTGAGGGAAAAAGTTTATCAACTATTTTCTGGAAGGATCCTGTGACATAAATTCAGTGTCCTCACTTTACAGGTGGAGAAACTGGGGACCAGAGAGGAGAAGTGGCTTGTCCATAGCCAAACAGCTAGGAAGTAGCAGAGTTGAGTATAGAATGCAAGCTTTTCAAATGCCAGGACCCGTGTCCTATTGCCTCAGGCAGTCCCAGGCACACAGGAAACCCTCAATAAACATATTTTGTTTTGTTTTGTTTGAGACAGAGTCTTGCTCTGTCACACAGGCTGGAGTGCAGTAGCAAGATCTTGCCTCACTGTAACCTCCATTTCCTGGGTTCAAGCGGTTCTTATGCCTCAGCACCCAAATAGCTGGGACTACAGATGCACACCACCACACCTGGCTAATTTTTGTATCTTTAGTAGAGACAGGGTTTTGCCATGTTGGCCAGGCTGGTCTCAAACTCCTTACCTCAAGTGATCCACCCACCTCAGCCTCCCAAAGTGCTGGGGTTACAGACATGAGCCACCGTACCTGGCTGCCTCAATAAACATTTGAAGAGTGACTCAAGAAGCCCAGGGAGGAATGAAAGTCATTTAGGATGCTGGTGGTGGAATCAGAACCTGAGTAGTTCCCAGGCCTCTTGGCTTCCAATCCCAAGGAATTTCTCACAGCTTCCCTGGCCATTAGGTATGTATTCTGGGAGGGCCTCTCATGAATTCAGCTCTCCCTTAGGGAATGGCAATAGCTACCACCTGCTGTATACCTAGACACCCACCATGTGTCAGGCATTGTACTAAGCACTTTACAGTGACTATCCCCACACTTCACAACTGCATGAAGTGGGTGCTATTATTGCTGCATTTTCAGACAAGAGGATGAAGGCTCAGACAGGTGATATGAAACCCCCAAGCTCACACAACCAGGGAGAAGCAGAGGCAGGGATGCAAATCTCAGGTCTGTCTGACTCCAAAGCCTATGTTTTCACGACCCTGTCTGCTTTTCCCAAACCAGGCCGCCTAGAGGCCCCTGTGGAAATGAAAAGAGGCCTCAACTGACCCTCCACTCTGGTTTCAACTAGAACAGTGAGTGGTGCTTTTAACTGTTTTGCATACTGGGCATCTGCCCAAGCCTTTATTGAAACAAGGACTTTGCAGCAAAATTAAAAAATAATAATATGGTTAAAACTGGAGCTCTGCACCCTCTCCATTTACCATGCCATCTAGGAACTGGCCTTGCCTTGTCAGGGGACCTTGCCCCACCCTGCCCACCTCCCTGGTCACCACTGCCAAACCCCTCTTCTGTCCCGGGTGCTTCTGGAGAACCCTTTGTTCAAAGAACCAGCTGCTGCTGCCAGCTCCACTAGCCTGTGGCACTGCAGCAGAGAGACACCTCAAAATTTAGACTCCTCAAGGCTGAGCCTGGCCAGGCTCTGATGCTCTCGAGGCTTCATTCAATGACAGAGCATTGCAAAGAGATTCCTCAGGCCCTAATTCAGCAAGCTGCCTTGTGCTACCCTCAATTTGTGGAGCAGAGGCAGTCCAGTAAGGCTTTCCATTACCCCAAAGAGGATGGGAAACGATGGTAGTGACAGCTGCAGCAACCAAAGCTACCCGCTGCATCCTGCACAATTCATCTGTGCAGCATTATCATCTGGGCCTCCCAACAATCCCTTCTCAGGATGATAATGGTTTCATTTCCATTTTACAAACAAAAAAACTGAGACTCCTAAAACGACTAGCCTGAGGCCATTTAGTGCATAAGCTGCAAGACTGGAATTTGAACCAAGGCCCTCTGAATTTATAATCATTACACTACCTGGCATTACTGATTCCCAATCCTCTCTCCTGTTGCAGAGGGTGGGTGCTTACTATTTACCCGGTGCCATGCTTGATCTCCTCAGCACTATTCATAACTGACACCAGTGAAAGGAGTTTGTGTGACGTTATTCACTCATTCTCAAGATGAGGAAATCAGACATGGAGAGCTCAAGTGACTTGCCCAAGATAACAAAATTAGAAAGAGGGGGACAATGGGGTGTGAATCTGAACAGTTTTTCTCAAGGCTCTCTGGGCTTTTCTGTCTCCCAAGGAAATGAGCACTGAGATATCCAGGAAAAAGAGAACGCTCCCATTTCACTTAGCAAGTGTGGTAGGCAAAATAATGGCCCCAGAAGATGTCCACATTTTCATCCCCAAAAGGGGTTTATAGATTACCTTAAGTGGCAAATGGGACTTTGCAAGTGTGATTAAGGGTCTCGAGGTGGGGAGACTATCCCGGGTTATTTGGGTGAATCTAATGTAATCACAAGGGTCCTTATAGGAGGAAGATTGGAGGACCAGAGTCAGAGAGGAAAGGCGATGATGGAAGTATAGGGGAGAGAGAGAAAAAAGGCAGGGAGAGATATGAAGATGCTTTGTTGCTGGCCTTAAAGATGGTGGAAGAAGCTACTAGCTAAGGAATGTGGGCAGACTCTAGAAAATGAAAAAGGTGAGAAAAAGATTCTCCCCAAGAGCCTTCAGAAGGAACACAGTACCACTACTGACACCTTGGTTTGAGGATTTCTCACCTCCAGGAATGTAGGATAATAAATCTGTGTTGTCTTAAGCTACAAAGTTTGTGGTTACTTGTTACAACATCATAGGAAACCGAAATAGCAAGTCTGCCAGCGGACCCTACATTAAGACACCCATAGCAAATCGGCTTTAGGAATCACAGCTGAGCTCCCTCTTAGACAAGGGACCCAAGGCTTCAATCATATTAAAACCTGTTCTGAACAATACCATGTGCATACCCTGTGAGAAAAAGGGCACATGCTCAAAGCTTAAGCCTAAACACTAGGCTTTGCTGCTGGATGACACTGCTAGGGCGTCCACTCCTTCCTCCT